TCACTCACTCACTCACTCACTCACTCACTCACTCACTCACTCACTCACTCACTCACTCACTCACTCACTCACTCACTCACTCACTCACTCACTCACTCACTCACTCACTCACTCACTCACTCACTCACTCACTCACTCACTCACTCACTCACTCACTCACTCACACCTAGGGACAATTTAGAGTTACCAATCAGCCTAACATGCATGTTTTTGGTTCTCTCTCCTCTCTGTTGTCATGATTTACCAAAGATTGTTTGACACTGGCAGACTTCTGCTAGTTTAATATGATGCTCAACAGGTTATAGAACAAACTCTGGGAGGCATTATTTAATTTGTTAATTAAAGTTTGTTTTGGCTGTTTTTGTGGGGACCAGTTTTTTCTTAAAGTGTTGTTTCAGCTCACAAACTGACCCTAATTTAAACAACAAGTCTCTAAATCATTAAAATATGCCCAACTGCTTTATGGACGTAACTTAAACTAAGAGCAGAAAACCAGAAGTTACTATGTTTTTAAATTATCTGTATGTTCAAAGGTTTTCCAGCAGAAACACAACTATCACACCAGTCTGTGCAGGAATGCCACCTGACAGTCTCACAGTGGCAACTTTGTGACATTTGGAATTATACTTTTTCTGACACAATGAGTTTGATTCAAAGTTCAATGAATTTTCACTTTTAGATACAAAGCTGCACTTCAGTTCACATCACATGAACAGTTCATGGATATTTAATAAGCAGCAGCAGCTTTTTTCAGCAGTATCTGAGGGATGGGTCTTCCATTCTGCAGCAGTGTATCCAGAAAACATTTAGTTACTTTTATTCACTGTTTTAATTATGTCATAGTTTTTCTGAATTTGGACACCACTCTTCAGTTTATGCACCAAGACTGGGTTATGAAAATACCAGTAAAGTCACACGAGCGGTACACACTGATGTGAAGCCAGCGAGGCAGTGATGACTGTTTTATTATTGCTGCAGAGGTGAAGGTGATGATTAAAAGACAAAGGACAGTAGAAAGGAGTCCTTCTCTTGGTGCAGCTGCCTGACACAGTGCAAATTAAGAAAGTCTCATCTGTCCTCGGGCTAGCACACACCAGCTACAGTAGACAGAGTTGTTTTTGTTTTTTTAAGATCTCAGAGCAGATCAGCTTGCACCAATACATATTTGGGGACTGCCATTGCATGGAGGCCATGCACTGCCTCCATGCAATGCATGAAGGCATCTATTATTCTACAACTAATAAGGGTTTCTTATTTAAATTTCTTCCGTCTCCATTAATGCGGCACGAACCGCAACCGTACCCCCACAAAAGTTATAACAAAATGACCGGCTCGATTTCGAGAAGTAAGCTTTTACTTTTATTGGCAATCGGAGTTACCATGGCAACGTATTTTGCTAACAAAAACGCCATATTTCCCCATAGGAAACGAATGGGAGAACGCTCCTCACACTAACGGCTGCTGTCAAGTCACATGACGAAGAGTGTAGAGGTCCCTGAGGAAAACAGAAACTCACTATTGAATATGTTTGAAACTCACATAATGTAATCATCAGATAAATGTTTGGAACTGATTAACATTTGGAGCCATTTTGATTCAAGATGCAAACACAAAATTGACTGTAACTCGGTCATTCTTTGTGATATTGAGCTGAAATTAATTATGGTTGTAGCTGAGAGCGATTGTTATACATTCCTAATAAAAATCAAATATCCAAGATGGCTGCCTTAGCTAAAAGAGAAAAAATATAACTTTTTTTTAGAGCGATTCAGCTGAAATTTGATAACAGTGGTAGATGACAACAATCCCTATCACATCCTGAATCCAAATAAAAAATCCAAGATGTCTGACTCAGCTAAAAAGGAAGAAATACGATAACTCAGCAATTTTAGAGCCATTTAGCCGACATTCGTTATACTGGCAGCTGAGAGCGAACCCCAACACATACTACTGTCAAATCACCAATTTCAATCAGCAGCAGCCTGACAGTCCTTGTCAAAGTTTCTCCAGGAACTTTCTACTTTTTAATTATTATTTGTTTGTTTGTTTCCTTAACTGCAGAAGCTTAAAGTAGTGTCCACCACAGCTGGTGTCATTTCCTTGTTAAAAGGCAGCTGGTGAACTTGATGCATTGTATATATTCTTTAAAGAATAAACATCTTTAAAACAAGAAGCTAAGATAATGGTTACAAGTGTGACGTTGCTGTATTTTGTTCTTACTATATGATCAACTATTGAATTTTGATATTTAAATCTGCGGAGAGAAATGAAACTTATCTGACTTTGCAAAAGCTCAAAACAAATACAAAATAAATGTAACAACATGTTTGCTCAAACATTCAAGGTTCAAGGTGACATTTGCATCACATGTGGTACATGAGGTGGAATGAAATTATGTACTCAAGGTCCCAGTTACACCCAAAAAGAGCAAAAATATAAAGTATGAAAAGAAACAGTATATAAGGATCTGATATATGCTTAACACTAATAATGTAAAAGAATATGGCGTATCAACATCAGCCTGAACATAAGACTTTGGTGAACAGATGGGTATGAATAGCAGCATGAAATAATCAGCAGCATGTTATCAGCAGCATGGATAATCAGCAGCTCAAATAAGTCACAAATCTCCAATTAAAGTGGCATTACAGTGATTATTCTGGTTAGAGATTCACGAGTCTAACAGCCTCAGGGTAGAAGCTGTTCCTCAGTCTAGTGGTTCTACACTTAATGCTCCTCAACCTCCTTAATGAGGGGAGCAGTGCAAAAAGTGTGTGTGCTGGGTGAGTGGGGTCCTTCATGATGCAGGTGGCCCTCTTCCTGCATCTGGAGGTGTAGATGTCTGTGATGGTGGGGAGACTGACTCCAACAGACTTCTGTGCAGCCTTCACCACTCTCTGCAAAGCTTTTCTTTCTGCAGCTGTGCAGCCTCCATGCCACATGTTGATGCTGGATCACAGGATGCTCTCCACTGCACACCTGTAGAAGGAGGTGAGGACTGAGCTTCACAGACCAGCTCGCCAACCTACGTTGTGTCATCTGCAAACTTTACAATATGACAGCCTGGATGGGTTGGTGCGCAGTCATATGTGAGCAGAGTGAACAGGAGGTGGCTCAACACACAGCCCTGAGGGGAGCCAGTGCTGAGGGTTGGTGGTTCAGAAACCAGAGATCACCTTTCTATAAAACTTGTACCTCGCTCTAAAACAAGAACAGTATAGTTTCCAATGAACTACACCGTTTTGTTCTTGGGCCCTGAACTCATCAACATTATTGTGTTGTTTGTAAGATTTCCCAAGAGGGATGGTTGTAGTAACAAACCGGAGCACCTTCAAAACCTCTGGTCTGAATATTTTCTGCAGTGTTAAATGTGGCCCACTCTGTTTGTGTGCGTCTCCAGCCTGTGACGGATGCAGAGAAGCACTCGGCCTCCACGGCAGTTCATCAAGCTTGGACAGGAGATGAGGTGAAGAGGCCAGACGGCGGGTCAGACGCCGGGGTCAGGATGGACACAGGCCCCAAGTGGAGCCGCAGGACCTGCGACGTCTCTGATGAGTCTGACAAGGGCAGCTCAGGGAGGAAGACCCCCTCAGTGTCCCAGACAGGCTCCTGGAGAAGAGGCATGAGCACTCAGGTGGGGGTGACGTCACCCCGGACTAAAAGCACAAGCAGCACAGGCTCCACAGCTTCAGCAGGCATCAAAAGCCACAATTCAGGTAAAGCAGCAAAAAGTGGGGAGAAGCTTTTATTTTTGGATTTAAATGTGTAATTTCTTGGCTCTGGTTCATCAGTTCTGCCAAATTTAGTCCAAGTTTGTTATTTTTTTAAATGTTTTCTAGAAATGTGCACTTGTTACAGAGAAAACACTTTTATTTGAGTTGAGCTGAATTATTGGGGAGTTGATGTCTCGATCTGTCCTGCAGGTAAGACGGACGATGTGAAGGTGTCAGAAAAAGGACGTCTTTCTCCTCGCTCAAACGGCCTCCAGCGCTCGCCCTCAGACGCTGGACGCAGCAGCAGCGATGAGACGAAGAAGCAGCCGGTCCCCTCCGGCTGCACGCCGACCACAAACGTACTTACGCACACCGTCTCGGACCCACAATCCCACATGCACACGCTGGCTTCACGTGCCCCCACCAGCACATTCGGCTTTAAGAAACAATGTACTGGGATGGTTACCATGGTTACTGCAAGCGGCGCCACCATCACCAGTGGGTCGGCCACCCTGGGCAAGATGCCTAAATCTGGGGCACGCTCACTATCAGGAGGCTTGAAGTGTGGCGGGCAGGAAGGAGGCTTGGTGTT